TGGGCCCTCCACATATGACGAATAAGACAGCTAGTCCCTAGATCCTTTCCATTTTTACCCCTACTGAATTCATTCATGCAATGGATGCAAACTGCTTTGGAATTATCAGCAGGTGACAGGTAGAAGTGTTTCCATACAGCTGATCTCCGACGGGAACTTGAGCTTTTAGGGGTCCCAGGAAGACGCTCTGGCCCTCCTTCTGCCATGTCTTCGAGGATGCTTTCATTGGAATGTGAGGCTGAGAGTGAGCTGAAAAGACTGTCAGTGTTGGTATATGGTTCTAGTTTTGGTTCGACTTTTGGTAACACTACTTTGGAAGAAAGATCTGAATTTTCAGCTGAGGAAGTGGACGGTGAAGTGTTCTTTGAGGCAGAAGAGACGACGCTATTAGTCAAGTCTCCATTTTTTGGTGAGTTTGGGGTGGGAGGTATCAAAAATGAGGAAGGAGAGCTATTCAGATTGTTAGAGGATGCATCTCCATCTTGTAAAAGCACAGTGGGGTGAGCCCTTCGTACATGCCTCATTAAACAACTTGTACTGAGGTCTTTCTCATTTTTTCCCCTACTGAATTCTTTCATGCAGTATAAACAGATTGCTTTGGTACTGTCCCTTGGTGATATACAGAAATGATTCCATGCAGGAGATTTTTTCCTCGGGTTGGTATTACTCCTCATAGATGACAAAAGGCTCTGGGTGACAGCATCCATGGCAACATCATAAAGGGTGCTTGTGTATCCACTTAGTAAATTACTGTAATCATCACCATCTTTAGTTACAAAGGGACCAACTGAGCTACCAAATGCTAGCCTTTCATCATCCGGGGTTTCATCATCCTGGGTTTCCTCCTTCAGTCCATTTGTTTCCCCGATCTCCTCTTTGATATGTTGACTTTCTTCATTGCCATTTTCATACTTTTCACTCTCTGTATTTCCCTCAGTGTCAGTGTTTAGGCAATTATTTGAAAGAGCTGGAGAAGCTGGATCAGTTTCACTTGCTTGGTCTGACTCCAGCTGTTTTTCATCCTGAGAAGATAAATTGAAAGAAGGGGGAGAGTCTGTATCCAGTGTTAACGAGGAGCAAGCAGTTGACTTTTCGTCTGCAGCCTCGTGAGGGTTAATGGTGTAGGATTTGAACACGTAACCATCCTGGCCCTCAATTTTCAGGCAGGTCCCTTTTGCCTCTCTTCTTTTATTTTCTATGAAGCCATTAGGCTCACTATCCATATCCTCAATGATGTGAGAGACCTCTTCCTCCCCATCCATGGCAGCAGCCCAAGGGTTTCTTTAGAGTTGTCAGGTCTGTGTCATCAACTGTAATCAATTTTTTCAGGAGTAGTCATCGATACTGCAGCTCAAGCAGGGGTTGTAGAAAGTGTGTGGCTGTCAGGGACACAGTAAGCCTGCTTGCCCCTCTCCATTTAGGCCTTAAGGATTTCCAGCTCTCCACACATAATCTACAGAGAGGGAGAGAAAGAACAATTTAAGCACTGTGTATTTCTAAAAATCATTTTTTTTTTTGTACACAACATTTGATGATCTTTTAATTCTATACAAAATATTGAACTGGATCTTCATACAAGGTATGGCAGAAACAGTTGATGCATTGCTGTTGTCAAAACTCTTGCTTTAAAACACTATTTCGCAGGACTCATACAACATATTGCCAATATTCATCATCATTTTTCCTTTGAATGCATCTTTGTGGTAATAAACTTCCAAATGCTGAATTAACCAGCTGTCAACCCACACCAACGCAGCATTAATTTTGGCATTCATGAGGCTACGCTGTCTCATGTGCCATGTTTAGGCCTGGCATACAGGTCTTCAGGAGGACACATATTTCATGAAGGGAACAGGGATACTTGTGTTTCCTGTTTTCATTAAGCCCACACACTTCAGCAGATGGCAGCACTCATTGGCACATCCTGAGGTACTTACAATTGTAGAAAATGACTCGTAATTACAGAGACCCCTAATCTATGATTCCTGCCACAATATTTGGATATAGTCTATGAATTTATTATCAGCACAACAATATTTAAATAGTCATTAGTCATTTATGTAGTGTAAAATGGGCAAGGAAAATATTTTACCTGTGTTAAAGTTCAACCTAGCCTCAATACATGGAGAGTAATACAAAATAAAAGAAATAAAAATCTACACTTTCAGTTTGAACCACTTTGAGATGTTTTAAATCCTAATCGAGCTGACAAATATAATCACAGTGGCCAAAATGCTCAAAATGCCTCTATATAAAAGGAAAACTAAACAACTTCAGCCTCAATGTAACCACTGAGTGGAATAATCTTCTCTCTAACAAGGTAAGTTATTCACGGAAGTCGTTTTTTTTTTTATTATAGGGATGTTGCATACGACTGCATTCATTTAATAGGGTTTACATAGTAAGCTGCCACTGTCAAATATTGTGTGTTTTCTTAACAGATCTCTCTTTACTCTCATTCTGATCCCAGGTATACTACTAGCTTTGGAATCAAGAAAAAAGGTGTGTAAAACACGACTGCATATTCACTTTGCACTCAATTTTAAGTCCAAGTACCATCTCTTCAAAAGGAGCTATTGTTTTTTTTTCCTGTACTAGTGCATTAAAAAGCAAAAATCGTGCAGATAAAGCAAAACATCCATAGGGAAATAGTTGAAAATATTAATTTCAACAGTTAGGAGTTTTGTTATAATATTATTACTTTTAATATTAGAGATCATTAAAACACACAAGACCAAACAACAAACAATGCAACCAGAGATACAGATCAGCTCTGAGAGCCTCTAAATACAGTCACCTTGTACCTATCTGTGTTAATTCTTCTGATTCAAACTTCATTAAATGATGCCTCCATACCAAATTGTATGCTTAGTCTAATTCCTAGTTTCACTGGAGAGGTACTATAAAACAATGAATAGCCATTTCCTTAAAGAGCAGCGACAGACAGTTTTTCCGGGTTTGGCTAAAGTGCTAGTCAGGAAGCAAGAGGACAGCACAAAATTGCCAAAGCGGACTGTCTAGCTTTTATCTTCACACAGCATACCAACTTGTAGATGTCCTACAAGAGAAAACAACGAAAGAAACTAATATGCACAATCGTAACAATATATATTTAATGTTATAATAATAACAACATACTACTGGCAGTGACGCGACACCATCAGTAAACACCACGGTGGCTATCCTTGTGCTAACTGGGTTAGCCGCAAGGGTATAAACACAAAAAACGTCATTCAGGGTACATTGTCACATGGCTTTTTTTTTTTTTTTAGCACAGATGTTCCAGACAATTTAAGTTCTACAACTGCAGCCCCCCTACATTGTAATTGAGCGAGAATGGCTTTTGGTGAATTTCGGACCTCACCACCAACTGCTAGCTGGTTAGCTGCCAGCTAGGCCACACACAGGACATACGAGCTAACCTGGCGAGGCAGAACCCAGCCGTGGCAAACACACGAACCACACGGGATCCGAATCAGACCGGCAACTCACCACGACGTCCTGCTCACATTAAATCATTTTCAGACGTATACACACGCTCAAGATACTCACTGTGAAGTGTGACCGTGTAATCACCGGGGTTTCGGCTCCTAAACAGTTAAAAAATGACACATTTGATTGATCCAGAGGGGGGTTCACTTTGTTGCTTTTGTCTCCTGGTTAGCTAGCAGTTCACGTTCGGCCGAAGTAGCTCCACACAGCGTCGGACGGAAGGAACATGTTTTCATGATGTCACCGGTCGCAGCAGGGTCTTCTGTAGGGCACTGGGTAGGGTTGTCTATGGGTAATGCTTGTAATAACCTATTTACACAGCACATGGTAATGGCACCGCATTTAAAAACACATCAACCCGTATTTACTATTTGACGATTTTTTTCCACTCATTAAAAGTTTCTATTCATGCTGATTGGGGACGTTTTATTTCTAAATTCAATATATTCGAAAATAATTTTAAAACCAAAAGTGACTTCAGATATGGAGTTCTTTATCTATGTGGGTGACTTTAAACTATAGTTATAATAATTATTATAATAATTACAATAATAATAATAATGGTTCACGTACATGTTTGTTGTTATTGGACAGTTCAGATATCACCCTGCACTCAAATTACGTTGTTTGAATTAACAAAACAAGAAAGCGACAGTACATTTAGACGGATAAAAACAAACAGCCTTTAACAATAAATAATTATGACTGCACAATTAAATATTGTTTTCGACCGAGTGATGCGTTCATGGTCTAGGATGATTGGAGTCAAATTTGGCGTTACCATCCTTGCACGTTATCACGTTATTGATTCTTTAAAAGACTGAGTTTAAAACTTTAAAAGTCCCCTTTACTAAGCACCTTCTCTCCCTCCCTTTCTCTCCATCGCGTCTTTCACTGTTTGTATCCTTTCTTAGATATTTCATGTAGTTTTGTAGTTTTTTCTGTTCGTAGTATGATGTGTGTCTATTGATGTCTTAGTATTTTGCTGTATTTATTTGTTTTATTTTATTATTTATTGTTTTTTGTGTGCCTCATTTGTATATCACCAGTTTATCACTTTATTGCACCTAATAATAATAAAAAAAATAAAAAAATAGGAAAAATAAAAAATAAAAGACTGAGTTTCTCCTAATTATTAATTGTTTTTTTGTGCCTCATTTGTATATCACCAGTTTATCACTTTATTGCACCTAATAATAATAAAAAAAATATAATAAATAAAATAAAACAAATAAAAGACTGAGTTTCTCCTAATTATTTATTGTTTTTTTTGTGCCTCATTTGTATATCACCAGTGTATCACTTTATTGCACCTAATAATAAAATAATAATAATAAATAAATAAAATAAGATAAAAAATAAAAGACTGAGTTTCTCCTAAATATTTATTGTTTTTTTTGTGCCTCATTTGTATATCACCAGTTTATCACTTTATTGCACCTAATAATAATAAAAAAATTAATAAAAAAATAAAAGACTGAGTTTTTCCTAACGTCAAGAAAACAACCTTGTGTACTGTTGGTCATCTGTGACCGGAGGAGAAATGCTTGATCTCTAACCCAGACACCATGAAAGCTTGACATACCGTAAATGACTGATCAAGGAAGCTGATGCAGACATGGGTTTCAGTTTAACTCAGAAACCGCTGGTGCCCGGATATGCGCTCTGTTTGGACCTTTGTTTGCGTGTAGCATGAGAGTAATGACAAAGGGCAATGCATTGATTGTGTGTGTGACAGATGGGCTTTTGTGTGAAATGTACGTCTCACCGCCGACATGACCTCCAGCGTCACACGTAGAGGAGTGCAGCGCGTACGGGTGGGAGTTGTCTGGAGAAACGCATTGTTGTGTTGGGGGATGAGCAGTCGGTAGTGCTGCTGCTGTTACTGTGCTATTTGCCTCCTGGTCGACTTTGGCTAGCGAGTGACTCTAACTTATGAATGGTCCACAAAGCAGATGACTGTGTGTTCTCTGTAGATTTGAAAACCGAAACTTCCCAGGCACCAAAAACAGGCCTCTTTCTCTCTTTCTCTCCACACTACCCGCCCGTCGGATGAGAACAGTGTGTACGGATATAGAGCCACTTAGCAGGCCATATCGCCATTGCTTTGTAAGGCTGCCTTGCTACCGTCTTCTTCAACTAGCGAAACTGTTCCAACCGAGGTACGTGCTCTGGTTTCATTTTGCTTTTTCTTTGCTTTGTTACCGGACGACGAGGGGCGCATGCAGTGCAAGCGCAAAGCGTGAAGTCATTCTTGCACATTGGAGGGGGAATTAACAGATATTTCGAAGAGCTTTTTTGTCTGGTTTGACGCCATTTGCTCCGTGATGGGGGCGATTAGCTCCTAATGCTAGTTAGCGAGCTCGGCTTGGCTGGCTAATGTTATTGTTAGCAACTTGGCCACTTTGACTGGGAGTTGTGAGTTTAAAAAAGCAATTGCAGCTCTGGACCAAATGGGCAAGTGCGAACTCCTGCGCAGTCATGTTGTTATTGCCCTAAGTGGCCGCCTCCCACCGCGTTTAAATGCCCCAGCTCATTAGCAAAACTGTAACGTACAGCAGCTGGCTACCACTGTACATAACAGAGACACTCAAACATGACTGTCACCCAGTTTGGAGCACTTTTATAAATGAGAGTTACCCCCATATTTAACCCTTTCACTGTATTGGTGTATTGGAATTGAAAAAAGCAATACTTTATTTCTCCAAATAGAATCATTGTCATAGCAACTAGTGATGGATTGATGTTATTGCTACCACTTCATTAAGAACACTGTTTCCTGCTGTTAATAGGAACTTAACTTTTAAACATTTACATTGCATTGCCATTTAGATATTTTGCCTATTTAAAAGTTGGAGTTACCTTAAAAAGCAGAGTGTCAGCGTGTTATCTCTTTATCCCTTGATTAAATGTGAACGCCTTCTCTGAACATGATTAAAGTTGACTCAACCCGTGTCTCCACAGCAACACGGAGCGGCAGCATGAAGAAGAAAGCTCGGCAGCACCGGGCTGCGGTGCCACAGAGGCCGCCGTCTCCCATCAAGCCTTCCCCCAACAAGCAGATCTTGACTTACGCGCAGGCGCAGCGCATGGTGGAGTTCGACATCGACGGGCGCCTCCACCGGGTCAGCATTTACGATAAGCTGGACGTGATCTCTGACGACGACCCCACGGTGCAGGAGATGATGGAGTGCACCAGCAATAAGGAGAACGCCGAGAAACCGCAGCAGCAAGTTCTCCTGCGGTCGGTCAGGCTAAAAACAACCAGGAGAAGAGAAATGCAGCGCTCGGGATCACCAGTCCTGGAGAGGGTGTAGGACAAAATACTGGCGTTAATGCCGGTCCAAAGCTTCCAGAGCCTAAATTTCGTACGGTGGAATATAATCGCCCGGCGGTTCCTAAGCGTCCAGCTGTGTTTTATAAATACATAGAAAAGACGGAGGAAGAGCTGGACGAGGAAACGGAGTATGACATGGATGAGGAAGACTACGCCTGGCTGGATTTGGTCAATGAGAAACGAAAAAGCGAAGGAGTCAGTCAGGTCTCTTATAATGTTTTTGAGTTTCTTATCGACCGCTTTGAGAAAGAGTTATACCTGGAGAGTCTGGATCAATGCAGTGAAAGTCATGTTCCTGTTGACGAGGACGCGGTCTGCTGCATCTGCATGGATGGAGAGTGTCACAACAGCAACGCTATCCTATTTTGTGACATGTGCAATTTGGCTGTGCACCAGGAATGCTATGGTGTACCTACATTCCTGAGGGCCAGTGGCTCTGCAGACACTGTCTCCAGTCACCAAACCAGCCTGCCGACTGCATACTTTGTCCCAATCAGGGCGGAGCGGTAAAAAAGACAGATGATGACCGTTGGGGCCATGTAGTGTGTGCCCTCTGGGTGCCTGAGGTTGGCTTTTCAAACACCACCTTCATCGAGCCCATCGACGGCGTCAGCCACATTCCTCCAGCTCGCTGGAAGCTCACCTGCTACCTCTGTAAGGAGAAAGGCGTTGGGGCTTGCATCCAGTGTCACAAAGCAAACTGTTATACGGCCTTCCACGTCAGCTGTGCCCAAAAGGCCGGCCTCTTTATGAAGATGGAGCCGATCAAAGAAGTGACTGACTCAGGAGATCCTACGTTCTCTGTGAAAAAGACAGCCTACTGTGGAGCTCACACGCCTAACGGGTGTATAAGGAGACCACTTACAATCTATGATGATGCCAAACCCAAAAATGGACTATGTAAAAAAGGTGGAGGTGTTGGTAAAGGGCAGTCAAAAGGAAAGAAGAAGAGTAAGAGTAAGAAGCCTGAGCCTGAGCCTGAAAGTGAAAATGCAGGCCATGTTAGTGTGCCTACATTTCCTGCTCACAGGTAGGAGTTGTATTATTTAAGAGTGGTGTAGTTTTTGGTTAAGAGGGGTGGCAATTGTGCATGATGAGTAATTGGTGATTTGGTACAAGTGGCTGTTTCCTTCGTCTGTTTTCCTTACGCTATATTCAGCTTGCTGTTGGTTTCTCTCCTGACTGTATCTGTCTGACCCGTTCTTTCCCCCCCCCCTGGCTCTTTCAGGTTACAAACCATTCTGAACCAGGTGTCAGTTCAGAAGAAGAAAGCCTTTGTGGAGCTGGTCCTGAATTACTGGACGCTTAAGAGGCAGTCCAGGAATGGGCTTCCCCTCATCAGGCGCCTCCAGACAAGCCTGCAGTCTCAGAAGAATGCGCAAGCGGTTTGTTTGTCTGTCAGTCCAACGCAGGAGACATTTAGTCTTCATTTTACCTCTTACCAAAATACCAGTAGATATTAGAAATGTTGTGGTATTGTTTTGTCACACAGCCAGTAGGATTGAAATATATTTTTTAAAGCGATTTATATTTAGTGCTTTACCTACAATGAAATCCTGCTTGAACAAAAAGTTTGACAATGCTAAGTATACATGGCAGTGTATTGTGAAGCTAGCTGAGTTCACATTTGGTTGTTTTGTAATATTGTACTTCCATGTCTTTTCCAGAGGCAGAACGAGGAGGAGAGCAGGGCACTGAAGGACCAGTTGAAGGAATGGCATCGTCTCAGACACGACCTGGAGAGAGCCCGTCTGCTGCTGGAGCTGATCCGCAAGAGGGAGAAGCTAAAGAGGGAGGAGGTAGGAGTATTTTCAGTCAGTCAGTCGATTCATAGACTTTTGTTTTTTAATCTGCATTACTGAACAGTCACAGTGTATAAACATCCTGAATGGCTCTAAACCTTTTCAAAATGACTTTAAAACTGACACTTCAGTATACATTCTTAAACATGTGTTTACTTGGTGAAAACAGAGGTACATCTGTTAAATCAAATGCCGGTTCACACTTAAAGTAGCTCATTAGCTGCTAACAGATTGCGATTCTGCAACAGCACCATAATGAAGTTTCATCATCATTACGCCTTTCTGCTTACACATTGCATCTACAACAATGTGCCATTGGTGTCGCAGTGTGTAATTTCCCATTGCATCTGGTGGAAGTGCGAGAGGCACGGCAGTGGGAGCTCCACATACACACACACACAAAGTGCTGATCTGCCCTGACGGCTCCAACATTACACTTCAAAACGCTTAACCCCAAATTGCTCCCGCTGCTTCTTCAGGGGCGTGTGAATGTGGACGAAGGGGACGAGATAAAACTGATGCACACTTTTCATAGCAGCCGCTGCCATCGTGTGTGAATGGGTCGGTGTGTCCTGCGGTGTAAAAGCTTTTTCAGGAGTCAGTAGAGTAGAAAGCGTGAGACAAGCTCAAGTCCATTTACAATTTACAGTGAAGTAGCTACAAACTTTAAAAAGCAAGTTGGTAGGAAATGTTTTCATGTGTGACTGACGGCCAACTTCTATTAAACTCTTATCATTGTGCACCTCTAAAGGGAAAACATGAGACTCACAAAGACTTGTTGACAATCGTTACTGACAAGAAGTAACAAATAATCAAAGCTTAATGTTCCAACAGCAAAATCCAAACATGACTGAAACCATTCCATGTCAGCTTTGCTTGAAGTATAATGCTTGGTTATGCTTGGTATGAGGTTCTCATCCTTACCCCCCCTGGTTCGTACTGTAGATCAAACAGCAGGAAACCCTCCTGGAGATGCAGCTGACTCCTTTCAGTATTTTGCTCCGGGCCCTCTTGGACCAGCTCCAGTCGAAAGACCAGGCCAAGATCTTCACCCAGCCGGTCGATGTCAGCGAGGTAAACTCCAGTACACACACACACACACACACTGAAGAAGTACTGTTGTTATTATCGCTGCACTTTTGATGCCGCACTAACATCCTGGCCTTTGCCCTGTAAACAACCCTTTAAACAAATAAAAGGTCTTTAGATTGAAGTCCATAAATCCTGTTAAGCCCTCAAACTGGACTTGCTGGTTTTTGTTTTTGGACACAGCTCTTTGCAGTTGAGCTGTTGTCAGGATACAAGGCCACTAACGGCATTTTTTTTCTGCCGATTGTGAGAAAATTCCCTCATAATGTTGAAATGATTGAATAATAATTAAAAGTGCTGTTTTTGCAAAGGCAAACTGTGTTTTGGAATCCGGGCGAGACACATGACAAGTCATTTATATTAGTTTCCTTTGATTAGAACAACTCAACAAAGGGGGACTAATGACAGCCATTGCTTTCCCTTGTATCCCACATATCTGTTAAAAGCCTCAGCACAAAGACTACAGACAGCAGACAGCTGCTTGCTCCGTGTCACAGTATCTGATCAGAGTGACTCAGGTTATAAATCACCCGCTCCTCCCCAGTGTACACCCTGTTGAGTAATGCGACTTCCTGGTAAAAGAATGTGTAACTTAAGGCTTAAGGTTCACCGGCTGATGTCTCAGGAGGGCTGAGGTTGCTCCTTCACTCAAGCCCGGCTAGCTCAGTCGGTAGAGCATGAGACTCTTAATCTCAGGGTCGTGGGTTCGAGCCCCACGTTGGGCGTACCTTATGTCTCTGGAGTCCCATCGGTATCATGAAGTTCAAAGGTGTTCATGCTGTCTGGGTCTGAGGCGTTTTCTCCCAACTCACTGTTTGAGTGTTTCACAGCCCACTTACACTCCACTCTCAGATGGCACTCATTGCAGTGTATCCTCCACATGACTGGCAGGGAAGGTCTTTACTGTCTTTACTATACAGTCAGATTCTCCAGGTCGTGCTCGTATGAATTACTGTAAACGCTGTATTCAAATTAAATTCATTAACAAGAATGTTTGGTAAGCAGTAATCACATGAACTTCATATTTAAGTTTAAGGTTCAATTACTTTTGAAACAATTCCATTAGGTGCCCGACTACCTCGACCACATCAAGCACCCGATGGACTTCTCCAGCATGCGGCAGCGCATCGACGCACAGGGCTACAACAACTTGGAGCAGTTTGAGAGCGACTTCAACCTCATCGTTGATAATTGTATGAAGTATAACTCAAAAGACACGTACTTTTACCGGGCTGCCGTCCGCCTCCGAGACCAGGGCGGGTCTCTGCTTCGAAAAGCCAGAAAAGATGTGGAGAAAATCGGCTTTGATTCGGAGAGCGGCATGCATCTGTCGGAAGCGCCTGAAATGAAAGTGACGCCATCGTTTTCTTGGGAGGACGGTAAGGGCAGTCTGTGATATGTTGGCGTCATTAGAGTCCCAACATTATGTTTATCAAAACGTGTTAAGACAAATATGTGGTTCATTCTCCTTCTGGTTGTTCAAACTCCCTAGTGGACCGCCTACTAGTGCCAGCCAATCGGGAGCATCTTTCTCCGGACAAGCAGCTGCAGCATCTCCTGGAGAAGTTTGATCTGACCTGTGCCATGAAGTCCAGCCCGTCCCGCAGCAAGCGCCTCAAGCTGCTCAAGAAGACCATCAACGACGTGCGCAACGAAATGAGCCTGAAGAGAGTCCATCCCTCCCACCATCACCATCGCTCTTCCTCCTCGACTCCCTCCACGTCGGCGTCATCGTCATCAGCTTTACCCCACCCACCAGAGTCGAGGAAACCTAAAGAAGAGAGACTGGAGGCCAATGGACATTTTCTAGATGATGAGGGTATGTATGGATGGGGTTTGGCTTTGTCTGAAATATAGGAAAAAAAAGTCCAACTTTTTCATAAAACACCTTTTTATAAATGTTTTATTTTCTATTGGAAAGAAAGAAAAACAACAAATAGAAACACACTAAAAGAAATTGTTTTGAGCACTCAAGAAAGCTGAAATGTGTTCAAAAGGCTCGCCGACACACAAACAACTTTTGCGAACTCCCAACTTTGAATCACAAAAGCACGCTGCGACATCTTTGTGATTATACAGATGTGACTTCTTTTTATTTATTTTTTGCTCCAGAGGCGGGGAAATGTAGTTATTGGCAAACCTACTTGTCTCTCTGGGCCTGATCCCTGAATAGATAGTGTTCTAATGAGCTCACAGGGGGAGCAAAGAAAGAAAGGAACAAGTCATTTGCTCTCATTTTTTATTCATACAAGTGTCTCAGTGTTATGCTAAACAGCACCTTGTTTTACTTTTATGATAAACCCAAATGCCATATGAGAATGTGCAGTGTCAGCTTTTGCTACAGGCACAAGGACAACGTGTGAGGGTTGCAGGGCATTACCGTGGGTCATGGTGTTACACGGCCGCTCGTATTTATTGTCATTGCCATGACTTGACCTTTCTTTTATTGTTTATTTTGGTGCTTTTTATGAATCTTTTTTTTCTTAGAGGATGCCAATGACTTCATTATGTCCAACTTGGCCAATCGTTCCCCACAGACACATGGATTATAAACCAAGATACGACTAATTATACTTCTATTCACTATAGCACCACAGGAACACAGGACTTACACTGGAAGGGAGAGAGAAAAAACATTAAATATGAATAAAAAACTAACATAAAATGGACTGTAGCCAATAGAGGGAGGGATGGATGGATAGATGTACTTTATTGATCCCAAACTGGAAAATTGTGGTGTCACAGTAGCAGGTAATCAAAGCAAATAAAACAACAGAAGAATCCATACAAAGTAAATAAGCTCTGACAATATAAAAACTGAAAGAAATACATTCAAATAAAGAAAAAATGTTAATGTTTTTTGTACTATCAAGCTAACAGTTGTAAACAAGTTCTTCTTGCTTTTTCTTTGTTCTCCTCTACAGCAGACAAGTCTCTCCCTCCTAAACTGGAGCTGTCAGACTCCATCCCTCCCCTCATCCACTCAGACGCACACCCCGAGCCGCCCACCCTCAAACCCATCGACGCCGCTCCAGACTGTGAGGACAAGACTCACAGCAAGTGCGTCAAATTCGACCGAGAACTACCAGACCTTCTTTCCCCCGCTCACCGCCTCAACGGTTTCTCCCACGATAGCCTCCAGGACTCCCTTCTGGACGGAGACGTGAGCGTGGTGGCCACGTCGACCCTCGCCGAGCCCACGGGCACGGTTAACCGCCGGACCGCTGTGCTGTTCTGCAAATCAAAGACCACAAGTCCGCACAAGCCTGCCAGGCCCGGGGACGAAGGCGCCGAGGGAGCCGCCGGGAAAGAGGGCGACGATGAAGAGGGGGAGGAAGATGAAGAAGGCGCACAGCTGGGCTCCAAGTCCTTCCTGTCAGTGGTCATACCGCGGCTGGAGACGCTTCTTCACAGCAAGAAGAGGAAGCACAGCGGCGGCGGAGACAGCGAGGAAGAGGGAGGAGAGGGAGAGCGTGAAGAGGAGGGAGAATCCCCTGTGAAACGGCTCGACACTGGTGAGGAGTGTAGAAGAAGAAACAAAAAAAAAAAAAAGCAGAAGAGCTATGATTAAATGAACACACTGGTATTTAGATCAGCTGCTAAAAGTGTCAGGGCAAACACTGCAAATAGAACCCACTCATGCTAGTCAAATGTCAAAGAAGCAGAATTGTGGATTCAGACTCAGAGTTTTAATGAAAACATTCTGAATGTAATGGGATGTCAATCATTTGCCTCCTGTGTTTCCTCTCAGGTTTGTCGAGGGGTTTCCTAGAGATGGAAGAGGAGAGGGAACTAGAACACTCCAGCAGAGCGAGTCGACCCGTGGAGCCAAGAAGACGCTGCGCCTCCGAGTCTTCCATCTCATCATGTAGCAGTCTGCAAGGCAGCACCAGGTGATCCGGATTGAATGTTTTATCTTCCCTCTTTTTTTCAAATTTGATTTAATAGCAGGGTTAAGATGGTATTACGGCTGTTCTTCTATTCTATATTTCTTTTATTCTATTCGCTGCTCTCTTAAGCCATCGTCAGCACCAGACAAAGTGTTTCTAAAGTTAACTCTGATGTTTTTGGGGTTTGCTTCCAGCACTATTCTCAGTCTTCCAAAATGTGGGAAGGGGAAAACCCGCCTTGGTCCGGAGAAACACTGTGGATGATAAGAGCGAGTTAATCGCCTGTATCGAAAACGGGAACTTTGCGAAAGCTGCAAGAATTGCTGCCGGTAAGTTGGCTGCATTATGTGTCATTATGTTATCCTTCAAGCTTATGTGAGGTGAAATACAACCTGTTTGATTCACCATGTCCCCAAAAAGTAGAGGATATTTTTCCTTGTTTATTGGTCGTAGGAGATCCTTTAGAAAATGTTACTCTCAACACAACTGTTGTGTCTTTTTATCAGCAGAAACTGACCCAAAGTTTCAGACCACATCGTTTAATATATACTGATGCAGTGAACATGTGTAGCAAGGAGTCTATGATTTTTATCATAGGAGACGTCAAATAGAAATTAAACCGAGCATGTGGATCAGGGTGGGGCTGGAGCTGATCCCAGCTGTCCTCAGGCGAGAGGCGGGGTACAGTGGTCGCCAGTCAATCACAGGCCTGACATGTGGCGACATACAGTCAAGCCTACGGGCAATTAACCCAATGAGCACGTCTTTGGACTGAACACTCAGTGTTGTCCAGTAATCAGCGTGGCCAGTGTGTAAAACAGTACAGCAAGTATGTGTGTGCATCCAAGATGTGCGCAGGTTCTTTAATATTATAACATCTATGAAAGGTGTAAACTAGGGCTGTCAAAGATTCAACTTTTTAATGGCGATTAATTCCAAAATTTCAATGGTTAATCGCGATTAATCACGTTTTTGATCGCGTCTTTAACATGGCTTTATTTTCAGGCTTTTATTTAGAAATGTTGTCCTGTCTTAAGCTCAGTGTACTATACTTGCAGTTTGAATCAACCCTGCTTTTATTTTGAAATTATGTAATGACCTCCTGGTAAATCGAAGGTTACAACATTAACTGACCAGAAAAAGAAACTCATTATGGCCAAAAAAAAAAAAAAAAAACGAAATAAAAACAGGTGAGGGAAGTCAAATGTTTTATGTCATGAGGTAGATATTACTTTTGAAACTAATAGAAGATCATCTTTATTGGCTAGGACAGCTGAGGACAGACAGGAAACATTTGATGGAGAGAGAGTGGGGATGACATGCAGCAAAAGGTGCCGAGGTCGGATTTTAACCCACGGCCGCTACGATGAGGACCATATTCTCTTTTCATAGGGAGCGCAACATATCAGCTCGGCTATCCAGCGCCTCAAAGCTGTCAGAGTTTTTTAAAGTGAAATGGGACAGTTAAAGATGCAACACACTGACTACTGGGGCGGCTCTGGCTCAGGTTGGGGGAGGTTGGAGGTTCGATCCCCAACTCCAGCATGTGTCTGATGTGTTCTTGGGCAAGACACTTAACCCCATGTTGCTGGCGTATGAATTGGATGATTTACTTGGGATGGCCATCAGTGTGTGAATGGGTAGGTGTGACATGCGGTTTAAAAGTGCTTTTTTTGAGTAGTCAGAAGACTAGTCGTATACAAGCTCAAGTCCATTTACTGTGGAGGCGTATCCACAGTGCACCTAAAGGGACAAAATCTCATGTGACCTTCATTAATTGTGATTAACTAGTTAATGCTGACAGCCCTAGTGTTAACCTTTTTTTTGTTGAACTAGAGGGTGTGCCTTATTCCCTCTTCGAAAGAAATGTTACTCTTGAAAGTCAAACTTGATCAAACTTGGAGACACCTGGTACTCATACGCACATACACATCAGGGTTGGAAATGAACAGCAGCCACGCGCCAGGACAACTTGTGTGACTTTTTTGGCAGTGACCGGTGAGCCTTTCTACTCTGCCTTGCCATCATGGCGTGTAAACCAGTCAGCATCTGGAGACTCTTCCCTCATCTCAAATTCACATTTGGCCAATAAACAAAAAGCCCCCAGAGTGGCTGGTAAATTTGAATATCTGTCATTTACTTGTGGCTCTCTGGAGAAGCAAAGTGAATTTTCCCGCCCTGATCTCCTGTGTGCTCCTGCACTCACAGCTCGGCCTCTGGAGATGTGTTTGTGTCTTGTGTTGAAGCCCTCTCATAACCTGTTTGGTGTTGTTCCCCCGCTTCCATAGAGGTTGGCAACAGCAATATTTGGATGCCCGCTAGTGCTGCAACAGTTGCATTGGAACCGCTAAAGCTAGTTTGGGCCAAATGTAGTGGATACCCTTCCTACCCTGCCTTGGTGAGTGTTTGTTGGAGAGAATGCATGACAATCATTGATTAAGTCTCTTTTATTTTTTTCTCTGAACTTCTCCTGTCATCTCTTTACTTTGGGACACATTGGAACCTTATTATGACATTCTGAAGTTTTTTTTTTTTTTTTTTACTGCAGCTGTTCAGTGGACATTTGGGAGGGGAAAGATAGATTACCCATTTGCAAGATCCCTCGTTTGTCCTCGAGGTGGCAGCATTTCACTGTTCACCAGTTTAATTTGACCTTAGCATGAAAGGACAAATGAGGAAAAGAACCTTATTTCCACAAGCTGGTAGTGTGTGCATGCCTGCATCTGTGTGTGTGTGTGTGTGTGTGTGTGTGTGCGTGCGTGCGTGTGTGTGTGCGCAGTTGTGTGTGTGTGTGTGTAAATTATAGACATCTTTACGATATGCTTGAGTTATTATGCGGGGTGAATGTATGTTTCCAGTGTGTTTGCATTCATGAACATGTGTTTAACTCCCTCTGGCATCCCCCCGCTGTGTGTAGATCATCGACCCCCACATGCCGCGCATGGGCTGCCAGCACAACGGGGTGTCCATCCCCATGCCCCCCATGGACGTGCTCCGCATCGGAGAGCAGATGCAGTACAAAGCCGAAGAGAAACTCTACCTCGTCCTCTTCTTCGACAACAAGCGCAGCTGGTGAGTGCTCTGCAGTGATCTGTGGGAGATTTTTTTTTTTTTTTGTAAGATGCTGCTGCAAGTCCCCACACAGGGTAGAAGTGTCAACCTGTCCATCAGCTGCTCATCATTCTCTTGTGTCAGGGTTACAAGAAAAGTGCTCGTGCCTCAAGAGGCATCTGAAAAAGATTCAGCTGGACTCCCTGGGAGAATGTTTTTCATTCTCTAATAGGGAGGATTTTACTGCAGCCTTTATGTCACACTGTCTTGTAGTGGTGATGGACCACACTCACCTGTTCACTGTTTTTTTTTTTTTTGGCTTAGACGGAGAGAGGGGGTGAGCCTGGGAGCGGAAGCTTTCTGTTGACCACCACACTACACTGAAAGGCGCCCCTTTTTTTAAAAAAATATTCCCAGTATTAATCCACAATGAGCACAGCACTAAACAACTTTCAGCAAAGTCACAAGGGTAAAGAAAACCTTCGTTTTAAGAGGGAGAAACCTCGACACATGTTGAACAGCTGTCTGTTGCAGATGTGTTCGACTGGGAATGTGGGATAGAGGAACATGAAGGAAGAAAGATAGAGACAAACAGAGCAACAACAACAACAACAATAAATAAAAACCCAATTTATAACTGCAATGCCAGTAATAATAGTAAAACGGTATGTGTGGTTTTAACAGTAACAACAAAGTATGAAGATGGACTTCAAGTGCTCTGCTTAAGGGTTGTTTTGTGGTGAAAAGATTGAGAGCCAAATCTGTTTTAGTAGCGACACATCCCTGGGAAGCGAGACTTTTAGAATGATTAATTAACACACTGTCTCTTCCCCTTCAGGCAGTGGCTTCCTAGATCCAAGATGGTTCCTCTTGGAATGGACAAGACCATCGACAAAATCAAAATGATGGAAGGACGCACATCCAGCATCCGCAAGGCCGTCCAGATTGCCTTCAGCCGGGCCATGAACCACCTGAGCATCGTGCAGGACGAGCCAGTCAGCGACCTCAGCGACGTGGACTGATGCTGACACTCTACCCTCACCCAAACAGACACACACACACACACACACACACACACACACACACACACACACACACACACACACACACACACACACACACACTTGTACCTCTCCTCTACCAAATACCTTCCTCTCCCCTCCTGTCTTTCCGTCTCTGCAGGAGACTCTAATGTTTACTTGGCACCTGCTGTAACAGGTGGTGCCTCTTGCTCATCCGTTCCTACCTGCACACACTCCTACCCTGTGCCGATAGGAAAAAGGCTGCTGCTGAAAACGAATGTGTCCAACTCTCCTCCGCTTTTTCCCCGGATTTGTAACTGTGCTAAGAGACGACTCCTTTTATCCACACTCCACTCCCTCGCGACACCAATCATGACTTTCATTTAATTTCATCATTTCAAGGCAAGAAATGTGAGCTACTCATTTCTTTACTTTGGTCATTTTTTTTTACCAAATGTGTTTGTTTTCCCACTGCGTTATTTTGGCAGGTAGCCAAACATCATTTCTGTGTTACGACACATACAGTAGCTGGTGAAGTGACTGAAATGAACACAATTGTACTCTTTGAGCCTACAAGAAGGCTTTTTTAGTTATATTGAAATTATGGCTGTCAGCATTAATGCATTAATCATGATGTGATTAGACTCAAACATTAATGGTATGCTATTTTGTCCCTTGAGGTGCACCGTAGATAAGTTTCCACAGTGTCTCCCTACAGTCGCAGTGATGGATAAGAACGACACCACAGCGCCTTTGAATGTCTCATTTCACTTAAAAAAAAAAAACTCTCAGACAGCTCAGCTGACAAATCAAAAGTCATAACCAACATATGAAATCAAACATTATACTTTTTTTTTTTATCGCTAACAGAAGTTCTTCATTTTTCTTTCAAAATAAAAGCAGGTTTGCATCCAAACAGGATGTAAGTTAACCTTGAATGAAGACAGTCGAACAATTCAAAATAAAAGCATAGCAAAAACTGTTTTGAAAGGCAAAATAATTATTTCAAACATGTGATAAAAAAAAATTAAATGAATCGAGATTAACTATGAAAATGACGTGATTAATCACGATTCAAAAAAAAAGTTTAATCGTTTGACTGCCCTATAATCAATGCATTTGTAGCCAAAGCCTGCGTTTCTGTCAGTGTCACATTAACTTACTGGTCCTCTCCATTTACAAAAAAAACAACCTTATTTTGTATTTAAACTGTAAATAAATCTGTACAGTTGCCTGACACTAACTTATTTTGTACTTTTTACATAAATGGGTCTTGTACAGTTTTTTTTCAAGTATTTATACTCGACACACATTCTTGGCACTAAGGAGTAAGTGCTATGCTGACAGTGCTGTATGATCAAGAAGGATACAAATGTGTAAAAAGCCTTAGTATTCAGGAGATTAGGGCTACAATGTCATGTTTCTGAACCGGGGGGGTGGAAATAATCCCTGTTTGGATTTTTAAGTTATTGAAGTTCATAATCGTACGCTTCCATTTGGCATTAATCCTTTTTGTATTAAAAACCTGTTTTTTGATATCTTTTTGTTCATTTATATATTTATATGGTTTGAATACACGGTAATACAGTATATAAATAAATAAATATATATATATATGTTTCTGAAGCTCATACAAGGCAGACTGATGTTTGTGAACACAGAACGTTTATTGTTCTCATGAAAACCAAAAATGTTGCTACCCAGGCGTTTGCGCTGATTACTGATTTCCTGTGATGTGCAAAAAATGTTGCCAAAAAAAAGTACAAAAAAAGGAGTGTATTTTTAAGTGAAACATTTGACTGTTACCTGGTTTTGATGTAGTCTTAGGGAGGTGTGCCTGTGTTAACTTATTGTACATTCAAGGAAAGACTTGCAAACTTGATTGTGGTAAAGTGGCACATTTTGTGGACGATACTTTGCCTTCTTTTTAAGTAACCCTTTTTCTAACTCTTTTGTAGTTTTAGACTTCAAGACATTTCATTTTATACGATACCTATTTTCTTCTGGGTAGCATTGGGTAGTTTTTGGTATATTTCTTTTTGTACTTCAATGTAGTCGTTTTTCTTTTCTTTCTTTTCTATCAGGTCATACAAAATTTGCTGGGACTGTTTTTGTAGTAAATAAAAGAATAAAGATGCAAATTTGATAACCTCGGGTGTTTATTTTTGGAGCTCTTTTTTTTGTTTTGTTTAAAGAAACGTTGTATCAGATAACAACATACCCGCTGCAAATCCAACCATCCAACCTTTCACGGGGGGGGGGGGGGTGCTGGAGCCAACCCGAGCTGTTGTTGGGTGAAAGGCGGTGTACACACTGGACTGTTCTCAAGTCAATCACAGGGCTGACATGTTGAGACAGACAACCAGCCACACTCACATTCACATCTATGGTCAAATTTAGAGTCAGCAATTGGCCAATCAAGCATGTGTTTGGACTCACGCATGCACAGGGAGAACATGCAAGCTCCACAGGGAGGCTCCTGTCAGACTGGGATTCAAACCAGGAACCCTCTTGACGAAGGTTGCTAACCACTGCACCACTGTGCAGCCCCTCACTGCAAATATAACAACCACAAAAAAGAAATGTATCAAATTTAACCAGATATTTATTTAATCATTTCTAACCTTATCTGTGGCACAAGAAGGACTCAAACCCCCATAATGCCCTGTAAAAGGTCTGTACCCCCCCCCCCCCCGCCCACATGGCTGGTGGAGGCAGACACTAATTCATCCTAAAACTTGCCATATGGCACTGTATGCTGCTCATCCACTCAACAGATGAACGTCCTCTTAAATTGTAAATTGTGTCCTATAGGCTGCCAGCTGCAGAATGTAAGCAGCAGAGAGGCTGAGGTTATGATCTGGGACAGCACACTGCACGGGGCCTCATTTATGATCAGGGCAGCACTGTGCGCGTCCTGGCAACGGGATCCCTTTTTCCTCATCGCAACTTCACTTGATCGATAGTTATTTTTCTGCCACTTTCAAGGCACCAAATTACTTCCAAACTATTTCTGCAAATACATAAATAAATAATGGAAATGAAATGGTGTAGCTCATGGAGCAGATGTTGGTTATTATCTTTTAAAGTGTATTCGAGCATATCCAGCTATTTTCTTTATGTTTTAGCAGCTCATGATTTTAAATGTTCCTCTATTGTTACCACTGAAAGAATAACCTCCCAACTACTCTGACATGTGCAGCCAAAGAATCTGCACAACCATTGAAATATCAACAATTCTTAATTGCTTATAAAAATAAAACGGGGATGTCCAGTATAATGGGAAGCAGTGGTTTCCACAGTTATACCCTACAACAAAGCTCCAAGCCTCATGCATCTTAAAAGTACATTGAACCCTGATGATCTGTATCTCTTAATAGCTAAAGCTCACCTGATTTGTGGAGCAATGTTTTACTAAAAGCTTCACATGGTACTTTTAGTTTCCCCTGCCCGTTCCCTAAAGATTCTCCATGGGTAAGAAGATGTGAACTTTTTCCTGGGTTTTCTTCCAAACCTTTAAACTCACAGGTTGGCACTGTTTTTCCAACAGGAGCTCTATGTCAGGTCATAAGGTTAAGGACTGGGGTAGAGAGCGCTGTCAGGCGTTCACCTACTTCTGTACAAGCTGCAGGCAGACTTCTTTTTTTCTCCTCGCTTTGATTCAAACACTTTTTGTTCTTATCTATATCACCATGCTCAGCTACTCCTGCTTGCTACTTCAGAAACATCTTTCAAAAGCCTTAGTTTTTAGCTCATTTGGTAAACCATGCGCTTTCTCAATTTTAGCATCTGATGTTGGAGTCTCCAGGGGATATCAACACAGAGTTGCTCGCTCATGCGCATGAGCTGTAATCTTGACTGAGAGCAATCACCTGTGTGTTTTTTGTCTCACTCATATTTTCTTGAGGAAATGCATTTTCAGGTTATTTGTGATACTTCTTTTATGTGTAATCCATACCTATTTTAAGGCATGCTTTTAGAGTGAGGAAGGGTATACAGCCTCAGGAGCTGTATTAACCAGAGAAAAACAGTCCCCCCTTCTCCAATGCAACATTTAAAAAAAACCAAAAAAAAAACATTAATGCCTTTCAGAGATATTGCTGCCTGCAGTGGGCTGAAATCAGGAACACCATACCTGTGGATTTTCATTTTTTATACTATGAATAAAACCATTTAAATTAAAAAAAAATAACAGGGTGAATCTCCACTTAATGAAATGTGGCCTACTAGATTGTAAAAAGCTCAAGTATTCCTCCTCATAAAGGAAAGTAGGGGCCGTGACTCAGCACCAGTTAAATCCACACGGGTAAATCTGAGGGCTCTTGAGATGAAAAAGAGGTTGGCAAAGAAGATTAAACGAAGTTTTGCTGCACAATTTTGCTAAATTTTGTTTCATGTTATTTGTTTTTGTGATGTAAGGCATTTATTTTGGTCAGGAACAGTTATTTTAAACAGTACAGAGAGGCAATTTCTCTGGTGCAAAGCACATGTTTCCATCTATTTTAAAGCCTACCAATATGCAGCAGTGGATACAGTGAAGTGAAAAGTGTCATATTTTGTTTTTAAATCCAGTAGGCGTAAAAAGCAAAGAGTGCGCATCTGGCATCCCTCTTTGCCTGAGAGAAACCAGTTTGCTGCAAGTTTCAATAAGCGGTCATTCTCAGTCTGTCCATAGGGGGGCGCTGTGCATCCACACAAACATACCTGCTGGTCAAAGACGTCGGAGCACCTGAGTGTCCACCTGCTTGCTATATCAGCTCAGCTCACTCACTCCTCCACTCAGGTAGGCATCAGTATTCAGCGTATAAACCGTTTTCATCACTGTGTTCAAATGGCGAATGCACCGATTAGAGAGAATGTCAATTAATGCTAAATCAGTCAGAAGACATGGCTGCTGGTTTGGTCTCTCTCTCTCTCTCTCTCCTCGCGCTCAGCTTAAAGTCTGCTCATGCCAATCATCGCTGCCCCCCCCCCACACACACACCACCACCACCACCCCCCCCCCCCCCCCCAACCTAACACCTCTTTCTTTCTTTTTTTCCAGAGAGTGGGCAGACAATTCTCTTCTCTTTTTAGTGTTTTATTTGTTTATATGCTAAAACTCCAATGAAAAGTTATCTGACAGAGATTGGAAGGGTAGAAAATGTAAAGAGCGCTTGTGTGGGCAGGAGTTTGGACCTGCTCCTTCACACTCGGGGAGTTTTTGCTTGCTGCGGTTCATTCATAAGTGCATCATGAGAGGCCAAATAGAGGCACGTCTTAGATGCAAATTTGGATGAAAAACTGTTGAAATATGCATTTTTACTTAAGCCAATCCCGCTTTTGTTATTTCAAGTTACTGCTATTCAAAGAGGTAAAGCCGCATCATGGGGATTAAATGAGCTGGTAATGGCACTGTTATATAGAAAGCCACCTTCAAGCCACGTTGAAAGACATCTCCCATCTTCATAAACAATTGGGGCTAATGTAGTCGCACGGAAAAAAGGAGAGGCACACCGCAGAGGAGTTTGACTCCATCCCTCTCTCCTTTTCTCTGTCTGTCTGTCTTCTCCAGATACTAATTGTGTGGGGAGGTAAACACAGCAGTCAAGTGGAGAGGACGGCGAGTCAAGCGTGAATATCAATCTTCTCAAATCAGTGTCGTCAGATGACTTTGACTGAGTTGAGGCGGGCTCATTAGAGAGGTGGAGCAGGGTGCCGCCGGCTGCAATAACACCCAGGTGTGGAGGGCTCTGAAGTTATGGAAGCCCGCTGGTGAGCTCTCGTGTTGAGTGTGTGTGTGTGTGTGTGTGTGTGTGTGTGTGTGTGTGTCAGGGCCCGTGGATTTATAATGCACCACTCCCTTATACACCACCCACTTGCGCATAGGTGTCACCGAGGTTCATGGAGGAAAATGTCACGTTCCCACACAGATACTCATCGGCATTATATTCCCCAGCAGGCACATGGAGTCGTAAAGTGTGTGTGCTCCATATTCATGCATGTGATTATCATGAACTTGAGCCACCAGCGGTCCCATGGCTCCCATGTCAGGGGGTATACTATGGTGTCGAACCTGGCCTGAGTCATTTTTGTTGACTTTTGGCGATACCACGATTTCGAAGGTTCATTTGGGCCTTTTTATACCTTTTATTTTGAGATAGGACAGTGGACCGATTCAGAAATCTGGGAGAGAGAAAGAGAACTCTCCCTCTGATTTATATTAAACAACAGTTCGTTTTAGCTCTGTATAGTAGAGATATGTCGTTTAAATCTGACATATCCAATCCAAAGAATAAATGTTTTTTTTGTTTTTTCCCGGCTGGTTATATTCCAATGCCACATACATATTGCCTCCACATTTAGCCTGACGAACTTTGTATTTTTTTGGAGACTTTGGGATCTCTCTTCTGAAATGAAGAAAACTTCGAGTTCTGTGGGTTGACACAAACTTTCAGTTTGTATTGACATGTGTGCAGGGGTGAAGAGGTTAAAACAAATGCAACTTTAATTCAGTACCGGCAATAGTCTTAAAAATGCCTCAGAGACTCGTCCTATTTGTGACTAAAAGTTGTTTTTTTTTCGGTGTGTGAGGTGACTCGTAAAGGAACCACACTCTGAACCCCTGCCCTGATCCCTCTGCATTAAACATCGCGCAACCTATCTACTTTTCATTTTTGAACACGCACACAAACATTATCCTCCACCGCTCCCTTCCAAACCCCCCCCCCCCATCTCTCTCTCTCTCTCTCTCTCTCTCTTTCTCTGCTGGTCCCTGATAGGCCCAATCTCCAGTGGCTATGTTCAAAACACTGGGCCAGAATAGCACAGGCCCTAGGTAGATACATATTTATGGGGTGCGTTTACTTCTCACCACAGAGGAGAAGTAGAAAATAGTGTGTTTCCAAGGTGAGCAAAACAAACAACTTCAAAGGAATTTAAATGCAGTTCATGTAAATGTTCTCCCACAGTCACATGTTTCTGCAGAGATTATCGTTCAACTTGTTAATGAGGGATTCATGCCTGATGCCAGATGACCTGATTATTGTGTGTGTTTGCAGCAATAGGAGCCCAGAGGCGTCGATGGAGATCGCGAGGAGATGAAGTAAGCATACGCGCACAAATATTTGCTATGTATTCACAGTCAGGGCGATTAAGTCAGGCCTAGTG